CATCTTAAAAAAACAACAACAAACCTGTCCTACGGTGGGGGTAGATGGAGGTGGGGGTAGAAGGGAGGTGGGGGTAGAAGGGAGGTGGGGGTAGAAGGGAGGTGGGGGTAGAAGGGAGGTGGGGGTAGAAGGGAGGTGGGGGTAGAAGGGAGGTGGGACAAAGGAACAGGAAGCGAGGAGAGGAGGGGAAACTGTGGTTGGTGTGTAAAATAAATTTTAAAAATTTAATAAAAACTATTCTAAATCTCTTTCAAGATTCAAAGTGTACCCCCCCCCCCAGGACCAATACATTGGGATTCAGTCTATAAGAATGTGTTCACCCTTCCCACCTACTTCAAGACTTTACGAGCTATGATCTTACACCCTATGAGCCTATGCAGATTGCTTCCTCCAATGGTACTAATTAGGGATGGGCTGTACCTTACTATCGCGCTCCAGCTCATTTTTCAGCCACTCAAAGTCACTGTAGCGTCGCCGTACACAGGATTCTTTCAGCTTGAAGATGGGTAGGTTTGTCTACAGGGAAGGAAGAATGAATGAAGAGAAGCCAGGTGTTGTGACACTTTTAACACACACACAAGGGTGAGGCAGGACGATCAGCAGTTTGAGGCCAACCTAGGCCACATAGGGAATTCCAGATCAGCCTGGGCTACATAGTGAGACCCTATCTCAAAAATAAAAACTGAAAACAGGCAATAAGTTCTGTTCAACCAACCTGTGGGGACCACCTGTCAGAACCACTGGAAAAGTCTCAATGAAGAAACAGCTCCTCTGGGACTGAGGATATAACTCAGTGGTAGGGCATTTACCTATTCTCTATGAGCACCAGAGTTTAACTCCCAGCATCACAAAAAAGAAAACTTGTTCCTATGGACCATATACCTAAAACTCTTCCAAAACACCACCAGGTATATATTAACCCTTACCATACCCAATTATCAGAAGTCCTTTGCTGGGGCTGAAGCCTAGCATGCTCAAGGCTCTTGGTTCTGCCCTACAAACACACACATAAAATCCTTTGCTACTTAAAATTTATCTTACGGAGAAGACTCACAGTCATGTTCTAATGTACATTATATTGGTAAATCATGTTATTTGAGCTCAGATGGGTTCCCCATCCCCATCATACCCACATGTTTGTCTCAAAGTGTTCTCAAAGGCCCCGTCTGGGGATTTGTTCCCTTCCTATCTCTGGGATACAGAGGGAAGAGAACAACAAAACACTCCAACAGTAAAAACAGTCTTTGAGAACAACTAGAAGGTAAACCATTTCCAACAGATGTTTATCCCATGATATAAAAATGCCTGCAGTGGAAAAAAAGCTGAAGCTCACTCATGGGAAGCTTAGCCATGGAGAAAATGCTCAATCAGGAACTCCAGCTGACTGCCTAACTTCCTGAGATGGTTTCTGCTGGACCTTAGGGATGCCTGATTTGATGATGTTACCTTTCTGTTGCTATTTGTTCTTTTACTTGGAAGCCTCAACCAAGGGGACACTCTGCTTGCTGTCTGGGACTCTCTGTTTGGGAAACTCCAGCTGGCTGCCTTAAAGGCACTTTCCCCAGTCATTTTCTGCTGGATATGCTGACTTGATAATGTTTTCTATCTGTTTATTGCTATTTATTCTTCTACTCTGACTTGTCACATAATTAAACTTACTCATTCAAAATCAAAAGTATGGCTATTTCAGATCATTCTCTAGATCCCCAAGACATGCTTCTCTCTGCTTTCCTATTCCAATCTTTTCTGTAAGTCCTAGTTCAATTCTCAATTCAGAAAACTTTTCCTGATAGTATCAGCTGGGTATATTGTGGTCTACCTCCTCCTTGATCCCTTCTGACATTATACTTTTCTTGAGACCCTGTCTCTAGCCTAGGCTGGCTTCAAATTCTCTCTGTAGCTGAGGATAACCTTGAACTTTTGTCTTCCTGCCTCCTTAGGAAATTACAGGGGTATACTACCACACCCAGTTCATAAAGTGCCAGGCATCAAACCCAGGGCTTTAGACATGCTAGGCAAGTATTTACCAACTAAAATACACCCACATCCCCATTTCTAAGGATGATCTTGAACTTGTGATCCTTCCATATCTACAGTTTATAAAGCATCACATTACTAGGTTTTCTTCAGATGTTTTATGCATTCTGTACGTTGTCTACATGACTAAATGATGATCTTAAGTCAACTACCTGACTGTGCATGGTGGTGTATCCCTTTAATCCCAGCACTCGGAAGGCAGACAGACAGATCTCTGTTGAGTTTGAGGCCAAGTCACTACATAGAGAGTTCTAGACTGGCCAGAACAACCTAGTGAGACAGTCTCAAAAAAATCAACAATCATGACAACTTTTGTTTCTCCCAAAATGTAAGGTACCAATAATCAATTACTCAATAGAAACTAGAATGAATCTAGTTACCCCTTTTACCTAAAAAATGCAGAATGAACAGCCTTTATGTAAGTTAGCTTTCTATAGCTTACTCATTCCTACATCTTAATCACTGAGAAGACTGCTTAGGCTCTAGTGATAAGAGGAACTTCTAACATATTAAAAAGCCCATTTAAAAAAAAAAGCTCGGCTGGAGAGATGGCTCAGAGGTTAAGAGCACCGACTGCTCTTCCAGAGGTCCTGAGTTCAATTCCCAGCAACCACATGGTGGCTCACAACCATCTGTAATGAGGTCTGGCTCCCTCTTCTGTATACATAATAAATAAATAAATCTTAAAAAAATAAAAAAATAAAAAAAAGCTCAAATGTAGACATTCCTGTCTACAAATTCTAAATGAAAATGGTCAAATACATATATTAATCTAGATCATATTTCTTGCCAGCCAATTCAGAGCAATGGGCGGGTAATAATAGGAACTACCTCTTTCTTCTCAACACAACTGCCTCTTGGCAAAAAAGGAGTATCTTGGAGTTCTGGTAGAGCCTCACATGGTCCTTACTACCTTAATTTTTACAGTCCCCAAGTCTTGAAACTGCCTCCCCAGCCAATAACTGGCCAATTCTACCCAAAATCTTCAAGGTTCAAAAAATATCAATAGGTTTAAATGGAGTCTGATATACATAACATTTTGTCATCTAAACTAAAGAATGAGTTTTCTTCAGAGTGTGGCCCCAGGTATGTCTACAATGTTCCAGCGGATGGCCTCATACCCAGAAGTATATGGGCAATACAAACTGGACTGGATGGCTTGGTTTGGTTTTTAAAGACGACTCAAAAGTTGGAGAGAGCCGGGTAGTGGTGGCGCACGCCTTTAATCCCAGCACTTGGGAGGCAGAGGCAGGTGGATCTCTGTGAGTTCCAGGCCAGCCTGGGCTACCAAGTGAGCTCCAGGAAAGGCACAAAGCTACACAGAGAAACCCTGTCTCGAAAAACCAAAAAAAAAAAAAAAAGTTGGAGAGAGAGGGAGATGGAAATGGATCAGGAAGGAATTAGAAGGAGAGTAGGAGTGAATATGGTCAAAATTCATTGTATGAAATTCTCAAAGAACAATTTGGGGGGGGGGCGGAGTTTTCAAGACAGGGTTTCTCCATGTAGTTTTGGTACCTGTCCTGGAGCTTGCTCTCTAGACCAAGCTAGCCTTGAACTCAGAGATCCACCTGGCCCTGCCTCCTGAGTGTTGGCATTAAAGGCATGCACCACTGCCACCCGGCAAAAATATTTTTAAAAGAAATAAACAAATAAGTAAACATGGTGGCAAAGATCTGTAATGCTAGCACTTGATAAGTGGAAATAGGCTGGTCAGTAGTTCAAAGTCATCCTCAGCTACACAGTGAGACAGTGAGTTTTAGGCTAGCCTAGGCTACATGAAACTCAGAAAATAACAACAAAAAATAAGAATAAATAAGAAACTGGAGGCTGGTGAGAGGACTGGGCAAGTAAAGGTGCCTGACTCAATCTGACAACTGAGTTCCATCTCTAGGACCCATATGGTAAGAGAGAACCAAGTCCTGCAAGTTGTCCTCTGACATGTGCTGCAACTCTTCCCCTGACCACAAGATAATAAATACAAATATAATTTCAAAAATTTTAAGGGCTGGGCGGTGGTGGCGCATGCTTTTAACTCCAGCACTCAGGAAACAGGAGCAGGCGGATCTCTGTGAGTTCAAGGCCAACCTGGTCTATAAAGTGAGTTCCAGGACAGGCTCCAAAGCTACACAGAGAAACCTTGTCTCACAAAATTTAAAAAAAAATTCTTTTAAGGGACTGGAGAGATGGCTCCCTTTTTAAGAGCACTTGTTCTTACAGAGGACCCAGGTTCAATTCCCAGAATCCATGTAGTAGCTCACCACTATCCATAACTCCAGTTCCAGGTTGCACATGATACATAGACATATATTTGAGCAAAACACTCATACACATAGAATAAATAAATCTTTCTTTTTTAGAAGTTTTTAATTTAAAAACTGTCTTTTTATGGGCTTTGTCTGACTAAAAACAAAAACAAAAAAACCTATTCCTTCCTTACCCCCAAAGGATGCTGAAAACATTGTCCTTCCATCTCAGCACTTAACCATCTAAGAAAAAAGCTACTACATAGAAGGCTAGTCCCTGGGCTCCAAACTACAAATCATATGAGGAAGCCAGAATAGTATAATATAGGATATTGAGGGTTTAGGGGTTCTGCTCAGCACAAAATAAAGTAAAAGGACAGAAAAAAATCAAGTCCACATTGATACATCTATATGAACCAGATGATGGTGGTGCACGCCTTTATTCCCAGCACTTGGGAGGCAGAGGCAGGCAGATTTCTGCAAGTTCAAGGACAGCCTAGTCTACAAATTGAGTTCCAGGACAGCCAGGGCTATGTAGAAAAACCCTGTCTAGGAAAAAAAAAGAAAGAAAGATCAATATGAATATGTATGATGATGTGTGGCCACCACAGCACCTCTCCAGACTCCTCAGGCAGGCAGGATCCATTTCTGAATAAAATTAAAGAGAATAGCTTCATCAATATTTATTATATGGAGCTGAAGCTATAGATCAATGGCAGTGTGTGCTCAGCATGCATGAGGTCTAAATTAAATCCCCAGCACCAGAAAAAAATAAATACAAACGATTTTACATATTTTTACAAAAATCAGAGTTCAATAAAACAGTAAAAGCCTCAAATCAACTCAAACCCACAGAAAGAAGAGCCACCGTCAACTCTATCAACATTACATAGCTAGAACTGTGGAAGGGACTGACGAAAAAGCTCAGTGTACATTTTGCATACTAAGTTTTGAAACTAAGCCTGAACAAAGTAGTGGAAAGAACATGGACTTTGGACTTAGAGACTTGGTTTCAAATCCCAGCCCTATCCATACTGTTATATGCACTTGGGAAAATTACTTAAACTACATGCTTTCCTGATTTCTACTTTTTAAAAATGCATACGGAAACTAAAACCTACTCAGGTGTACCGACACACACCTTTAATCCCAGCAATTGGGAGGCAGAGGCAGGCAGATCTCTGAGTTGGAGGCCAGCCTGGTCTACAGAATGAGTTCCAGGACAGCCAGGGCTACACAGAGAAACCCTGTCTCAGAAAAAAACAATGAAAAGAAAAGAGAAGAGAAGAAAGCTAAAACCTAGTTTGGTGCCTGGCTCATTGTAGGGACCAGATGGATGATCTCTGTTATCAGAATACCTAAAGAAGAGAACGATTTCCTTACTAATCCTTAAGGCTCTTACACATCTAGACAAAATCTCCAAAACCCTAAAAGTAGTCTTTATACTGAACAAGTTATACTTAGGTTCCCTTGAGTAATTAAGCCTTCCTCCATGAACACTTCTCTTTTATCATAGTTTAAAGAAGGTAAATCCATGCTTCTCTAAAGAGATCATTTCAAATAGTCTAGTCTCCACAAGACAAGCAAGCGTTCCGCACGCTGCCATCACTTTCCTCCCTCAGTGTGGAGAGGACCATTTCTCCCCGAAGACTGTCAAGCACAGGTAGAACAAGCATTCTCATTCAATTCTTCTAAAAAATAAGAGCACCATATGTCTCTTGGCTCTTCAATGCTATTTAAGAGGGATGCTATTCACAAAGAATATCCTGGATCTCCAAACTGAAAAGAAAACACAAGGAAAACTAAAAAATAGTTCCTAATTTTTTTAAACCTGTACCACTTCAACTGGGGGAAAAAATACGTGTGAGCCATGTACTCTATCTGCACATCTGCACATTCCATCCTTGCACTATGGACTCAGAGAATAAAGTCCCTGGGGTGCAAACTGGAAGAAGCCCTTCCTAGAGCCCTTCTGAAATGTCATGTATTAAAGTAACTACAGACCAGGGACAGAAAAAGCAAATGGCCTTTCACAAAAAAAAAAAAGTGAGAGCCAATAAAATCTGAAGTAAACATTCTGCATTCTGGAAACTTCAAATCTAAAGGATCAGCAAAGGATGGGAGGCAGCAACTGACAATCCACCAATCCCAGTGCAGGGCCGGGTTTCACGCAAGACACGGGCATTGTGGTACCTAAGAAACTTAAGCATAAAACATTTCTCTCTTTCAGATGTAAATCTTAGACCAGTCAGCAAAGCATTCAGCCTCAAGATCGCCTTTCTACTTCTGCTCTTTCTCGCAAGCCCACTGTCCCTCTTTCCGGTAGTCTTTCCTAGGACTAAGGGTTTGCTTAACTCCATCACCCCAGAGAGCTCTCTCATTAGGAATTAGCCCAGCCTTCCCACCTCCCCCCCCCTTTAGAATGACTTCCATAACCTAGTTTAGTTGTGGGACCCAGCGATCCCTCGCCTTGGCTTTCCATCCCCCAGCCTCCTTCCACCCTCCCCTTTCGTGCTTCTGTCAATCACGATTCCACTCTACTCGGATTCCTCACTAATCTTTGTCCATCTTCCACACCCTGTCCAGCCATGCTTCACTTCTGCCTCGTGAGTACTTGTTTTCCTTCCCCTCCGCCCGAAAGTCCCCTCTGGAGTTTTCGGCACCCTCAGGCCACAGCTGAGTCTGCAGCCTTCTCTGCAACCCTTTCAAGCCCTAACCCTCACATGACCCCTCCAAGCTTCCCCGCCTTTAGTCGTCCCCATGCCCCCTCCCCTCCCGCGTCGTCCTCCCTCAGCTGTCTCCCTCACCCCGTGACTCACCCGCATGCGAACCTCATAGGTGGTGAAGCGCGCGCGGCCCACGCCCACCGTCTGTGGATTAAAGATGTCTATCTCCAGGAAGTTACTTGGCGGCCCGTAAGCATCGGTCAGGTCCTGAGGCTTCGAGTTAAGGCGCCGAGTGTCAGCCACTGCCGTGTCCGACATCTTTCCGAAGAAGAGACCGGTACCGGCGAAGGGGGTGGGGGACAGAGGCCTGAGGCAAGAGCGCGCACGGCCCCTCCCGCTTGCAAAATCACCAGCCAACCCACAGACGGCGGCGGCGCGCACGCGCGCACGCATGCGCGCACGCACACACCGCCTGAGTCTCGGCCCGTCGCCCTGAATAGCCGCCATGCTGACTAGGGCTTGTACCTTACGGTGAAAGCGTCATTCAGACTTCCGGGTGGTACTGCTAGCTGCCCCGGAACCTGCATCTCTAATATTCCCTGTCCAATACTTCGAAAAGCACCACACGCAGGCTCCGCCAATCTGTGTTCCCCGGTCCCAGAAATTGTCTCATCCCGTGCATCGATCAGCAGTGGGCACTGCCCTGCGAGCTGTTATCCTAAGGTGTTAGACTGAAAGCCCAGCTCCTGAGTAAGTCCGGGTTTGCCATGACAATAGAAGAATGGTTTCTGGAAGGTGAGGTTCCACCAACAGTACCAGGAACGTAGAATGCAGCCCCACTACTTGTGCCACTAACAGTTTCAGTTCCCGCTTCACACAATTGAGCATTCGGAAAGCAACACATTATAAGTGCCAGGGAAGCAGCAGACTCGAATTGCGTAAACAATCGTGATTTCATGTTCTCGCTCTTCAGGAATAGTGGGTGTGTCTTCATTTTCCACATGTTGCTTGATATAAACTAATTCCAGGTGTACTCAATTCTTGAATTTCAGAACGTTTATTCCATAACTTTTGTCTACATTCTGAAGAACCCCCATCCATACTTGGCTATGCTCTGAGCTTGCTTGCAACCTGTGTTGAACACATGTCTACATGAGAACATCTATAGAAAAACATATATACATACCTGTAAAATGTATTTGCAGATATGTACATGCTGAGACAGAGTCTTATATTTATCCCAGCTGGCCCGGAACTTGCTTTGTAGGCCAGGCTAGCCTCAAACTCGTAGCAATGCTCCTGCCGATGCCCCTTGATTTCTGGTATTACTGGTCTCTGTCACCATGTCCAGCTAGAAATATTATTTGTGGTTGTTTTTATAGTTGTGAGACATTGTCTCATGTATTCCAGGCTGTTTTCAAACTTGCTTTGTATCTGAGAATGACCTTGAACTTCTGACCCTCCTGCTTGTATCTCCCAAATGCTGGGATTACAGTCATGTTCCTGGAGATCAAATCCAGGGTCTATCAAATAAGCTATATCCCCAGTCCTTAAATATACTTTTTGTTGTTGTTTTTTCAAGACAGGGTTTCTCTGTGTAGCCCTGGCTGTCCTGGAACTCACTCTGTAGACCAGACTGGCCTTGACCTCAGAGATACCCCAGCCTCTGCCTCCCAAATTCTGGGATCAAAGGCATGTGCCACTACCGCCTGGCTAAATATAGATTTTTTTTAAAGACTGATTTTTATGCATGTCCCGTATTTTTTAAAATTATTTCTCTTATTGTTATTTTAATTTTTAAATAAGTATTTTTTATGTGTCTGCATATTTGTCCATGAACCATGTGCATGCTTTGCCCAAGGAGTCCAGAAGAGGATTTCAGATCCCCTGGACCTTATGTTACAGATGGTTATGAACCACCATATGGGTGCTGGGAATTGAACCCAGGTCCTCGGCAAAGAGCATCCAGTGTTCTTAACCACTGAGCCATCTTCTCTAGCCCTACATGTCCCATATTAAGAGGTAGACAAGTAGGCCGGGCGGTGGTGGCGCACGCCTTTAATCCCAGCACTCGGGAGGCAGAGGCAGGCGGATCTCTGTGAGTTCGAGGCCAGCCTGAGATCCAGGAAAGGCGCAAAGCTACACAGAGAAACCCTGTCTCGAAAAACCAAAAAAAAAAAAAAAAAAAAAAAAAAAAAAAAAAAAAGAGGTAGACAAGTCGTAATTTTAGGTAATTTTTCCTTCTCCCTTCACCTAACCTCCTTTTCTTAAAAAAAAAAAAAAATTCATTTCACTGATGACTAAATTCTTTCAACAAAGCACAAGGGCTTACAATTTGACAATTTAATATAACTGATATCTATAAACTACTTATGTGCCAAGCACTGTGCTAAATTTCCTTTTTGTTTTGTTTTTGAAGGTTTTGCGGGGACGGGGGGGGGGGGGGGGGGGGGGGGGGGGGGACAGGGCTTCTGTGTAGTCCTGGCTGTCCTGGAACTGGCTTTGTAGACCAAGTTGGCCTCAAACTCAGAGATCTGCCTGCTTCTGCCTCCTGAGTGCTGGGATTAAAGGCGTGAGCCACTACAGACAACCATGAGTTAGCTTCCTAAGCAGAGACAGATAAATAAAACTAATGCGTTCAAAGTAGCAAATAGAATCTATGTAACTAAACTGGGCATGCTGGTACATGCCTATGATCCCAACAACTGGGAAGTAGACATAGGAGCTTCAGGAATTCAAGGCCACCCTCTACTACACAGCATGTTCGAGACCAGCCTGGGATACAATGGGACCCTGTTTCAACAAAACAAAATAAAAAGACATATATATTTGGGGAAATTGGGGGAAACTTCCTAGAGGAGGACACATCAGAGTTTAACACATGAAAAGGCATAAAGGATGGGAGCTGGAGAGATAGCTCAGCAGTTAAGAGCACTTATTGTTCTTGCAGAGGACCTGAGTTTGATTGCCAGCATCCACACAGTGGCTCCTAACTCCAGCTCCGGGAGATCCACTCTCCTCTTCTCACCTCCTCGTGCACCAGGCATACTTGTGATGCAACACTCAGATACATCAAACTTTTAGATCTTTTTTAAAAACTTTAAAGGCATACAGGAGAAATAATGGAAATGGGGAAGGGCCATTTCTGGCGCAGGAAATAGCATATTTGAAGGCGTTGCAGGAAGAAACTCTACAGTAATTTTAGGCGATTATCACCAATTCAGGCTGTGTCATGGAAATGTTTTGAGATGGACGGTGTCCAGGGCTGGGCAGAAGAGAGTGAGCCCTCTCTGTTAAGCCGAGTGGCTCTGACTTTATGATAGGTGACAGGGAGCACTGAAGAATCGTAAGAGAAAAGGAATGAGAAAGGCATGAGCCTATTTGTGTTAGAGAGACTATTCTGCGAGTGACGTGGGAAATGGATTTAAGGTGAATGTGACTAATTTTGAAGGAACCAACAGTGAGAGTGATGAGGGCTGGAGAGATGGCTTGATGATGGTTACGAGCAATTACTGCTCTTCCAGAGGACCTGGATTCAGTCCCCAGCAGCCACACTGGGGAGCTCACAACTTGAGGTAACTTGAGCTCCAGGAGTTCTGAGGTCTTCTTCCCGTCTCTGAGGGCACTTGCATGGTGAGAAGCATGCACATACACATACACATAACACATTTTTAAAAAGGTAAAAGAAGACATTATGGGAGAATGAATTAGGGTTTGTATTAGATATGGTGATGATGCAGTATAGGACTTAATTAAATATGTGAGCCATGATTGAGACTGACTTGATTTAAATCCCTGCTCCCTATCTGTGTAACCTTGAGTAAACTATACAAAGTTTTTCTTATCTGTACAATGGAAATAAAATTAAAAGCTACCTTTGTAGCTGTTGTGAGAATTGAATGAAATAAAATATTTTATGTGCACAAAGTAGCTGTTGGTAACTATTCGCTATTGTTACTATTTGGAGAGGGAGGAAAGGGAGGGAATTGAAAATGACCCCCCGGTTTTCTGACCAGGTACCATCAATCAACATTGGAATTACAGAAAGAGGAGTACATAGAGGAGAGAAAATGAGTTCAGTTAAAATAAATCAAAGTTATTTGGAAGACATGCAGGTGTCGATGTCCAGCTGGCAGCTGAAAATCCTTGCCTAGTGCTTGAGGGCATGATGAGGTTAGAGATAGAGACTTAGGGATCATCAGGATATAGTGCAGAGAGAGACTTAGGGATCATCAGAATACAGTGTACAAAGAAATATGTGGAAGAAAACAGGACAGATTTAAAAGCTAGTGAGATGATACCGTTTAGATGGGAGTTCGAATCCCTACAATCTTTCTGGGAAACAAATCTTTTTTTTAAATGTATAAAAAAAGGAGTAGTCCCATGTGCAGTTTGGAAGAATAGATTTTTGAAGCAGGGTATAATGCAGCCCAAGTTGACTTGGAACTATTGATCTTCCTGCCTCTACCTCCAAAGTGCTGGGATTTCAGTAATGAGCTACTACACCTGGATAAAAACTTTTTAAAGGAGCCAGTCAGTGGTGGCACACACCTTTAATCCCAGCACTCAGGAGGCAGAGGCAGGTGGATCTCTGTGAGTTCGAGGCCGGCCTGGCCTACAGAGCGAGATCCAGGACAACCAGGGCTGTTACACAGAGAAAACCTGTCTCGTTAAAAGAAAAGAAAAAAATCTTTTTAAAGTAAAAAATTACTAGCCAGGCATGGTGGTGTACTCCTATACTCTCAATATTCAGAAAGGAGGAGACAATATTCAGAGGCAGGAGAATTATTGAAAGTTTGAGGCCAGCCTATGCTACTTAGCAAATACCAGACCAACCAGGGCTACATAACCAAACTGTCTCAAACACACCAAAACTAAAAGAGATGAGAAGTGATATTGGTGAAATTATTATGGCCACTCCACGTAGTTTAAAGGGAGGTTTATTTTGTGGGGTAACTTACAAGTGAAGGGAGAGGTTACAGGGTCTGGGAAAGGTGTAGAGCAGTCCAGCGGTGTTCTCTGCTTTGTCTACCTCCAGCATCCAGGGTCCAGGAACCAAGAGAGCCAGCCCATCTGCATCAGGGGTCTTCAGGGTCCTCTCTCGGCCCTGCCTTGTAGGCGTGACCGTTTCCAAAGCCTCAATGGGGGTGGTACTTCCAGGTCAAAGCTGGAATGGCTACCCACTACATCGTACATTTTGCTGGTCATGGTGGTGCCCATTATATGGTGGTGGTGCACCCCTATAATTCTAGCCCTTGGAAGATAGCAGAAGGGTCAAGAGTTTAAGAGCATGGCTGTGAATGTAGCTCAGTTGGTAGAGTGCTTGCCTAACAAGCAAGAAACCCTCCCTGGGTTCTAACCCCAGCACAGCGTTAAATTAGATGTGCTGCCCCATGCTTGTGATCCCAGAACTGAGGGTGTGAAAGCAAGAAAATCAGAAGTTCAAGATCATCCTT